GGATCTCGGCAGCTGTAGCTGCAACCCTGACTTTTCCCTCCCTCCCTCCCTCCCTTCCAGGAGGTGGCCATGAGGAAGCTGGTGCGCACGGTGATCATCAATGACGACGAGGAGGATGACGATGACGAAGTCAGCGTCCACCACCGTCACCACCATGTAAGCATCATGCTCTGTCAGGGACGGGCAGCGGGATCCAGTGGGTAGGGGACTCAAGACCTGGTTCTGCTGCTGGCCTGCTGGGTGCCCTTGGGCAAGTCCCCCTCCTGTTGATTGATGCACTGATCCTGCACCTTCCAGGACCAGACCCGGGGGAGCAGGGAGTTGAGGTAATGGGGGAAGGGCCCTGTGACTTATCTGGCTGGAAAACAACCAACCACAATGTCAGGGAAGCACACTGCTCTCCATCGACTGCATGAGATTCTCTCTGCACATGGAGACACTCCAAGCACCTGCACGAAGGGATCGAGCTGACGATGGGGGATGTGGGTTCGTTTGGAGCATCTCAGACAAAAGGGCTCTGATCATCCCCATGGAGGAGTGGCAGAATAGCTGGAACCATGAAGATTAACTCTGCAATCCAGCCTGGAGTACGCAGGGTTTTGTCCGGAGGACGATGCGGGCTTTGGTGGAAATCAATCTGTAGATAGCTGCTCCGATGCCCTCCGCGTTGCCACGTAGCAGCTGACGGCTGAAACGCGTCCAAGGATCCCGATGGCTGCTGTGGTTTTAGCCCCCCCCGGTGCGTTCTTGGACTCGTGCTCTCCTCCCTGCAGAGCTGAAGGTGTCCTTCCTAATCTGGGGCCGGTGACAGATGGCTTCATTAAACAGAGGATGGGCTGGTGCCCAGTTAGAAGCGTGTTCAGTTCTTCTCCCCCACACAACGTCCCTTGTCTAAATGGGCAAGAGACAGAGGCAGCTCCAGCGCGTATCGGACAGGAGATCTGGGGTTCAGTAACTCCACCTAGGGGGTGGTGCCAGAGGCAGCTCTTGGCAGCTTGGATTGGTATTGGTATCGTGCATGATCAGCTTTTATATTTCATTGTTCTGGATCCAACCAGCCATGTCAGGATGAATGTTGATCAGCCCAGAGAAACGAGCCAGGATCTCCTTCTGGCCGGCACTGCCCGTTTGTTTTGAGGATTGAATTCCTTCCAGGAGTGCGCTTCCTACCTTAAAGCAGAGTCCCCCAGCCCATGTTGGGTCCTTGACAGGGGGGAGGTTAGCTGTTCACGATGGGCTTGGATAAACATTTCTCCTCCCAGGCGAATCTCCGGCTTAGCCATCAGAGGCAGGGCTGAGGAATAGACAGGACTGGTTAGCTGGGTGCTAACTGAAGGCAAACCACTAATGACACTGCCCTGGATGTCTTCAAAGCACTGAATTGTCCATATTATTGGTGCAGAAGAACCAGGCATGACAAGGAGAGGAAGGAAGCAACAGATCTGACTCCAAACTGGTCCATTTCCTCACATAGCGTGGTCATGCCACTGCTGAGTATCCGGCTGGGTGGGCCTGACTCCGATACCCCAGGGGATGGACTCACGCTAAGACCCCGAGTGGAACAGACTCCAAACCATCCCTCCCCTCCCTGCAAACTCACCAGATCGGAATCTTACATCCTGGGGCCTGTCTTGGGTCACCCCACCCTGGTTCTACATGTGGAGTGGTCCGAAGTGTGACTAACTCAGCTCGGGGACTGCATCACTTAATTACGTCTTAGGTGATCTTGACATGAAATCTGAGTGCAGCACTTCTGGTTCCCATGGTGCTGTTCCCCCAGTACAAAGGGCTTTTCTGGCTTAAGAGAGATGTGATTCCCTTCTTGATGCACAAATCCAGCTCCCGTCACTGTTAGCAGGAGTCGGGTACGTGTGTGACAAGAGGGAGTAGCACCAGTGTCTAGACCAGACTGCAGGAATACACCATGTGTCCCACAGCCAGCTATTTTGGGGGCCCGTTTGCCCATCCTGGGTGTGAGTTGCTCCCTTTGGCTTCGGTAGGAGTTTGTCCATTCCAGAGGTTCTCAACCATTTCTCACACACTGACCACCATGTAGCCGGTACCCCTTGCCCCCACATTCAGCAATATGGGGATGGCAGGGAGGTCACAACCCCCAGGTAGAGAACCCCCCCCGCCACACATTCTATTTTATTCAGGTTCTTCTAATGCACCCATCACCATGGACTCAGGGCTCCATGGCTTTTGGGGCTCCTGCAATGGCAGAACATCTGTTGGGGTCCGACGTTCCAAAGTACCGATCACAAGACTAGGACGGGCACAATCCAGCCCTGCCACGGCAGAGAGGTTCTTGGCCAGCTGCGATGCCCCTCTGAAAACAGGAAAGGCCAATGCCTCCTCTCGGGGACCCCTGCACAGCCATGGGGCTCCAGCAGGGTGGGGTGGGGGTAGCTTGAGAGCAGCCTTAGGCCTCTGCCTCCTTGGAGCGCTCGTTAAACCCTCGAGCTGACTCAGCTTCATCAAGCACTGAAGCCCCCTTGTTTCTCTTTTCACCCCTCTAGGCCCACTGCAGCGGCACAGGTGATCCTGGGGAGTACAACCTGCGTTCCCGCACCGTGGTGTGCGGCACCTGTGGCCAGCCGGCAGAGAAAGCCAGCGGGGGCCAGAACGCCGCGGCCGGCTCCATGTCCTCGGAATCGTCCGCCTCCAGCCTCACCATCACCCGCAGCTACCGCTCCCTCGGGGGCGCTGGCGGGGGCAGCAGCGGCGGCCTTGGAGAAAACCTGGTGACCAGGTCCTACATCCTGGGTAACTCCAACCCACGCACTCAGGTGAGTGCACGAGAAGAAAGGCCCCTATCTCTGGGGCAGGGGAATCCCAAGGTAGCCGAGTGTCCAAGCACAGCCTGAGCTCCAGGCTAATGGCTCTTGCTCATCTGAAGGTCCCAGTGGGAATTCCAGCTGGTGGAACCCCATCATCGTTTGGTTCTTCCTCTTGCCCGTTGGTTAGGGCCAGTTCTGTGCCAGGATCGATGTGCTCTAAATACAAATAGGTTCCCCACTCGATAAGCCAAAATCCAGCTCTCTCCTCTGGCGGCTCCTGCTACAGACATGAGTAGTTTGTGGATGGGGATCTGGTGAAGGCTCCTCTCTGCAGATCTCTGAGTTGGACAGACTGGGAAATGGTCTAAATGGATTTACTGACCCAGATTTAGCTCCCCCGTGGCTAAGCCAGCTGTGTACGCGCTCCTCCTTAGTGTGCCTGTTCTGAGTCAGAGCCCATCTCTGCTGCTGTGAGCCAGCTCCAGAGGCCACTTGCAGCCAGTTCTGATGCCCCGCTGCCCCCAGTCCCAGGGTCCTCACTTGGGTCAAACTCCCACACAAGCCAACAGGAGTCTTTCTGGAGTGAGGACTGCAGGGTTTGCTGGCTGTGTGCGCGCAGTGCTGGGGAATGTGGAAGGGTACCGCACCCCCACTCATCAGAGAGAGCCCCACAGCCCTCCAGGCGGAGGCTGCAATATTTGGGTCTGCAACAGAAAACCTGTCAAAGCCAGAGAAATATTCCCCAGAGCAAGGAGCCTAGCTAATGAGGCTACATCCGAATCACCAGCTCCCTCTAGGGGCCCAAATGAGCTTTACTCTCCCTGCAGCAGAGCCCAAACTGTAGCTGTCTAGGTCAGCGCTACCCCCGAATGGGCCCGTCTGTCCATAACCAGACTGTCCAGGGTCCTTCAGAATATGGGAATTCTGAGCCTTCTGCCTCCAAGGGACCTCCCCTGACATGAAGAGCCCATGACGCACCTTAACGGGGACTGTGGGACTCGCCAGTGGTCCTTCGAAACCAGCGGCCTGTCTCCTAGGGTGACCAGTGGCTTCCGAGGAAAGTACAAGAGACCCCTCCCGCCCCCCATGGAATTGCCTGACAATGGGAGATGTTTCTTCCTTACCCAGGCAGCTAGTGACTGGCTCATGCCTTGAAGCATGATGGTTTGTACCTTGTACATGGTTGACCATGTTAATTATACTTAGAACATTCAAGATAAGGTCCCTATTTATAGGGTTAAGCCCCTAGTTCCCCACACTCTTGATTCTGGCTTATCCATGTGTCCCCTGGG